TTATATTTTTTGTAATTGGATACCTGCAACAAAACCACCACTAGAATATTTAGGGTGAATATTCAGGATCTTCAGGAGGGTGATGGAAATCTGGGTGGCTGAATCTTCAGGAGAGTAGGATGGAAAGAGAGTTGTTTTCCTGAAATTGCAGCTCTTTCCTGCTGCAAATTTCTGGTGCCTAGAGGAGCAAAGGACAGCCTGCTGGAATCACAACAGGCTGTGAACAATGCCAGGTCAGCTAGGCAAGGGGATTATTCTGAAAGTTTCAATTGCCAGATGTTGACAAGGATATTTGAGATAGGAAAGATAAAGGGAACAAAATAGATGAAGGGATTTTGACAGGATCTGTGACTGTGAATGAAATGAAGGGCCCAAGAAACGAGTCAGAGGGGAGAGCGGAGTTCAGGAATAGATGAAAGAAATTAGGGGGAAAGTCTCTGTGCCTGGCAGGGTATATTGCTGGGAATGAAACTCAAGATCCTTGGCTCAGCATTTCCCTGCTGCCCACAAGGATCCACAAAAATGTTGCTGTAATGCTGGGACTCCTGGAGGATGGTAACCAATTATTGTAACTATTCTTTTATCTTTGTGGCTGAACTCTTTTTTTGGTCTAGCCTGGAGGGTTGGGGCAGGAGGACTGGAGTCTGCTGAAAGACAGCAATAAAGAACATAGCACTGCACTGACAGGAAGTTTCAAAATTCAGGGTGCCCATGGGATCTGAACTTGCTCCCTTCCCATTTAGAGGTAAGTATAAAGATACAAATCTTTGCTAGGCATATCTTTTCCCCACAGGATCAGCTTACTCTCAAAGTAAACCAAACTGCATTTCTTTGACAAACAGATTTCCAGTACTTTGTCTCATAATTCTCTGTGTGGCTCCATGCTTCACTGGCTGCTCATTGATGAATTCCTACTTTGAATAATGAATTAGCAACTCCTATTTATGGTGTTCATCACTGGAATACACAAGTATACATAAATCCAGAACAGTAACAGCTTTTAATCATGTAGCCAACATTTAACTCTGTAATTTATTAATTTGAAAGTAAAGCTTCATTTCCCAGGCAGGTTGTATAAAATGCATGCCCTTGTGGGTCCAAATTTACAATCCAAAGATTTCAGAAGAATACTCAGAATTCATTTATCTGTATTTCTATTTTTATGAAGTCATCTAAGGAGTTGTAAGAGGAAATAGGATTCCAGGAAAAATATGATACAAATAAAAAAAGGGAGACCATCATTGCCTCATAGGCCTTGGAGAGAAAGATGACAAGACAAGCAAAGCAATATGCATGGAAAGAGAGGCAGAAAAATATAAAGCTATCAGTACTAATAGAAGAGCAGCTTTTTCTAAGTCCCACTCCAGCATCTATCCATTCACTCTCTCCCACACAGCCACAGAGTTCTTCTCTAATAGCTTCCATAGAGCTTTTAATGACTAGGATTACAAAAAAATGGAGGCTTATACCCTACACAGGGAGTTGAATTATACCCAATTTACAGAAGGGGGAAACTGAGGTATGAAGCAACCTCATCTCTTCTCTCACGTAAGCAGAGGACAGGGACTGAAGGTAAAGCTGTTCCTTTGTTCCCTCACTAGAAAAGCAATCACAGTGCATTTAGCTAGAATAGAAAATTGGGATTCTTAGGTAATTTTGTTCTCAGGTGCTACATTTCTATGGAAACTTACCTTTTGAAGGTAACATAAAAATGCCGACTGCTTTAAAAAATTCTGTTTTCCTTACCTACCTTTTACTGCCGTAACTGTTGCTATGGAAACTGGAACTGGCCATGAAGCAGTTCTACAACATGAATTCTCACTTGTCAGTTTTACATTCAAGTGCCACCTTCTAAGTCCTTTAATAATTGTGTTGCCTAACAAGTTTTCAAATTAAACAAAACAAGAAAGCATGCTTTCACTGAATGCTCTGCACAATATTTTGTAGGTGTGGTCTAAGAATTTTAACAGCATGCATGATATGACTCTGTTGGTTAAGGATATGATCTTTAAACAGAGAGACAGTTTATTTGCAGTAAAAGCCCTAGTGTGTGTAGTTTGACTTACATAAAGGTGACTTATACCAACATGGGTATGTCTAGACTGCTGTCACAGAAGCACACTGTAGAGATACTGAGTGAATGGGTAAATCAGCCCACAGTGAGCTCTGTGCTCCCACAGCTCCTCAAGGTACTGCTGTGCAGGCATATGCACGTTGTATTCCCTGTAGGTGCAGGAGGGAATGCTCTCAACCAGAGTAAGTGTTAACCTGGGGCTGGGTGGCTACTGTGGAAAAAAGAAAGCAGGCAAGCTTAAGACACGACTATTCTGTACAGATATCAGAATCTGAGTAGCTTAAATCTAGGCTCTTCCATTAACTTTAGCTTAACCTTTCACTCTTGTAAAAACTATAGGCTCCCTTGTGTTTATTCATCTTACTTCCCTGAGACAACTCATCTGAGAAAAATCCCTTTTTCCTGTTCTTGGGGAACAAACACCATCAGAACACACCCTCCATCACAAGAGTCAAGCACTCCCAGCAAGGATCAGCTTCCAGGGACAGGTTCTTTCCAGAATAACTTACCCATGTTTCCTGAGATAAGTTCCTTCTACCTCATCTTCAAGCTTTGCAGTTGTTCAGTGCTTTTGAACAGCAACAGAAGCAGGACTGATGCAGACACAAGTGTTTGTTCTTTCTACCTCCAAGCATAGAAAATCAGTGGACAGGGATTTTAGGCAAACTTTACACAAAGAAACACATCTAAAACACAGTAAGTGCAGCCTCAGAGTTGGAGGCAACAGAATTTGCACGTGTAACTATACAAACTGCAAAGCCCAAAGATGTAATCCTATTTTGGTATGAATTTATTTTAAAGAGATCCTAAAGAGCAACATGATCTCCAAACTCTCTTTTTCTCCCCGAACTCATCCAGCCCACACACTCAGCTGTCATCCTCAGGAGAACCAGGGTCTTTCTTCTAACTTAAGAGAGGAGATCACCTTTCCCACTGAGCTAGCACTGTTCTTTTAACCCTTTCCCAGCAAAATAAGCTTCTTGTAATACAGAACATTTCAAGAAAATGGCCAAGACAGTCTTTTAAATTAGATGCCATGCTCTTCCAAATGGTCTGAAACACCTCATACTTTCCTTTAAAATATCCTCAAATTCATGCCAAATAAGCCACTTAACCATATGTACTGCTTGACTGTAGGTAATTCCTGAAGTGAATGTGAATTTAGGAAACAATATTCCAAGGTACTTCTTCCATAGATAGCCTTGTTTTTAAGCATCACTTCAAACTGATCAACAATCAGAGCAGGAATTTAAAAAGCAAATCTCCCCAGTGACCAACCAGACCTTCTCATAGGCATAAATTAAAATTTCAATTCCCCTCTGTATCACTTCACTCAGAATCTGCCTTCTTTCCCTGATTTACAGAAATATTCAGGGAGTGGGGAACAAACACTCTACAACTCTTCCTTAACCCTCTTCTAATGCCTTCTGCACAGGTACATCCCTTCAGCACCTGTTCAGGGCCCATATTAAGATCTTACTAGAAGGTGCCTAACTCAGAGTAAAGCAGCAATGTGAGGAGTATGAAAATCTGAGGAAACCAGCTATTGAGTCCTGCAGCAAGTATATACACATATATGAATACACAGCAAATGAATGATTCATACAGAGTTTTCTTTAAGGCCAGAATTTTCCACGGGCCTCTGAATGCAAATGCCAAATATTTTGTCTTGCCTTTCTCTGAGCCTATATCTCACTGCAGCCAGGGCTTTGAGTGAGGCAGATAATATAACAAACCAGAGAGCTGGCACACATGGGGCTAACTCACTGGCTTTCCTCATGCATATGGTTTATTTTTCCCTGCTATGTCAATCCTTATAGGGCTTTACCACTAGAGCTGCCTCCTGGGAGTCTGCTATTTCAACTGTTATAGGGAAGGTGCAGAGGAAAGAAGGATAAATTAAATCTTTTGTACTCTTTTTAAGTTAAAGGTCTCACCTCCATACCATAAATTAAACAGATTAATTAAACAGACAAGCTCCTGCAGCAGCAAGCCCTTTCTAAGGATAAATATTGAACAACTTTGCTTTTTAACTGTTGCACATAACAGAGTCATAATTATTCCAGATCAAACATCTTGCACAGTAACCTTCTTTAGGGCAATGTTGTTTCATCTATGCCTTGTGTTCTTCTGCAAGCACAGATATGGACAGTATTTTACCACAAAAGTGACAAAGAATAAAATACACAAAAAGCATCAGGCAGAGGAAATTACAGTGGGTCTCAATGGCTTCTGTATTTTCTTTTCCAAAGCATCTAATTTATATTTTACCATTTGTCATGTAGGAAGCAACTGAAACAGCAAAACAGTAGCTGATTTTGAAAATTCTGATCTGAAGAGAAACCACAAGCATTGTTAGCAGGGATGGGAATGCAGAGGAATGTAGACATGCTGGACAACCACTGGGCAAGGCTGCAGGATGGGGAAGGGATGCAGGACCCCATTCCTGAGTATTACTTTGCAGAGAATGGTGAGGTTGCTTTAGCAGTGGGAAAGCTGTCCAGATTGAGGAACTCATATTCACAGATGCACCAGCACTGCCATGAAGGACAAGAAAATCCTTCTGTTTGTGTGTTCTTTCTCTAGGTGCCACAAAGTCCACATAAAAAGAAAGACCTGCAGCTATTGCCATAGGAAAACTCACAAGATCAGTCTTTAAGCCAGAAGAGTATCTCCTGAGATGACCACTGCTGTAAACAGTGATCTTTAGCAGTGACTTTTCTTTAGGCCCTCTGATGCAGATGTGAGGATGGTCAATATCTCATCCTACTCCAAGGAAAGGGTACAGTTTCTTTTCAATTTTCCCTGCTAGATTAGAATGTCCAGAATCAGTTTGACACCACTTTCACTAGGAATAGCAAGGAAGTCAGCAAGAATATTAAAACAAGTATTTGAACAATTTCTCTGAAGCTGGACAAAAATAGCATTTGGAGAATCAAAAGGCTCTTTTTTATCCACTGTCTAGATCATACCAGCTAATGACAGCTTTCCACAGTATCCCAACCTCTCTTTCTTATCTCTTCTCTTTAAAATACCATAAAATATCCTTCCATAGTGCTGACAATATCACTGTTACTCTCCAGTAGTTCCAAGACACGGTGCATCACCACTTCAGCCAGAGAGGGGTTGTAGCTCTGCCGAACACAACTCAGGATATGAAGGAAATGGCAGCCTTTTTCAGCATCTGCAGAAAAAAGGAAGATGCAGCCCATCATGGAAGAAATATTTCAGTCTGTCTCTTTTGAACTATCATAATACCGATCAATCATGAAAGCCCCAGAGCCCAGATACTGAAACAGAAATACGTGTATTCAGAAGAAAGAGATCCTGTCTGTGCCTACAGTTCTCCAATTATCAGCTGCTCCCAGTGACTTTTCTGAGAAGTGTCAGGGCTGTAACAGTAGTAATGAGGGTGAAAGATAACTCGGTCTTGCCAACTCTTAACATACAAAGCTCAGTACAACTTGATGAGGAGTTTAATAATGTAAGGGTACCTCCACTGTCCACCTGTGCAAGCATCCAGCTTTTGTAACTTCAGAAGGAACCAAATGAAAGTCATTTTACTAAGATCCAGCTTCACAACTCTCACAGCACAGCAGGGAGGTGCGTGGCCAGGGCCTGTAACTGCTGGCCCAACGCTGGCATCTTGTGGAAAAATTGCTGCACTGCAACTGCATTCACCTCACAATGCTATCCCATCCCTACCCTGCAGACCACTCAGACATTTACGGGAGTGGAAAGTCAGGGAACCATCAGTATCAAATTTTATCTCCTTTTAAGTGGAATTAGCCCTACAATGTACAAGACAACAGAAGTTTAAAATAACCCCCTTTGCTGGGGGCAAACACAGAGGTCCTTCATGGCTGCACACATCTATTCTGTGCCAGGTGGAACATTGTTTGAAGCTGTCCCAGTCATCATTTCCTCCATCACAGACTGTAACCCACTAATCATCAGTGCTGCAAGAGCCCAGCCCCCCAAGTGCTGAAGTCCACAACGTATTTCTCTGCAGTAGCTGACAATGGAAAACAGACGTAAATCAGATACATCAGCACAAATTATTTTCCTTCTCCTTAGCTCACGTGATGCAAGGCAAGTTTGAGAAGGGTACTGAGAAGCTGCCATGGGAAGGCCCTAGATTTTGTTGCTTTTTGGGTTTTTAGTTAATTCTCTACTCTAGAATCTTCTGAGCCCCAGAGCAGCCTTAGAAACTGCTGAGAAAAGTCACTGGTAAATAGTGGTAAATAAACAGTTCAGACTAATTCTGATTAGGCTGTGAATCAGGCATAAATACTTTCTCAGAGGTATCCAGCATGAAAAAAAGATCTTTGTGGCCAATAGCCAAAAATGTGTCCACTACCCAGGGAGAGATAACTGCAGAGAATGGAAAAATGCCTCTACCTGGTCATAGTGACTGTTCTTGCAAACAAAATGGGTAGCTGCACTTTGTCATAGGTTTATCATAAGAAGGTCAAACTGCCCATCTCTGATCTAGAGTAACTTAAATCTCAATGAATTACATTCATGACTCAAGTGTTACCTAACAGCACAATGTGTATTCTTCCCCTAGATGCTGGTAGAAAATGGCACTTCGGGGTAGCTGCAGGTGTGTACAATGATTAAATAACCCAAAACACTCCTGTCCTTCTTTCACTGACATGCTGGGTTCTTGCTTTTGTCCAGCAGCTGAGCAAAGCCAGGCTGATTAAGTGTCCTGCCTGACAACCAACATCAGAGGGGACAGAGTTATAAAACAACCATTTGCCCACTGCAGACGTCTCACACAGGGGATATTCTGACATATTAAATTTAACTTCAAGTGGTTCTGGCTTTTGTCTTCTCTATCATTAGCCTGATCTAAGCCTAAAATTTGTAAAACAGAGAAACGGAGCAAATTTATAAAACAAAGGAACAAACAAACAAACCAACCAAAACCCAAATGTATTTTGCAGTTCAGTCTGGAGTCAAAATGTTCTATCTGGCTATATTAAGTTTCTAGATGGACCCACAGTGGTCTCTCATGAGTGCGTTTAAGATCAGGAATTATAACTGGAGCCAAGGACTAGGACTGTCATGTAGGCACATTACAGATCAGGGCTTGTGCAGCTCTGAGTAAGCACACAAGGTTTTTTTTTAATTTGTACAATAGTTTCAGACAGCTGGGTTGGGCCTGGGAATGTGTCACAACTACAGCAATGGGGCAAGGCGTTGCCTGGAAAACTGGCAGAGAAGTAACTCATTGGAGAGAAGAGTTTGATTTATCATAAATCATCCTTCTTGTCATGGAAGATTACTATGACGCTTGGAGGAAAACGGGTAGGGAATTTCTTGCAACAAACAAGCAAAAGCCCTAGAGGTGGATGCCCATGCCCTTATTTTCTCCCTGGGAGCCTGGCGGGAGGTGGGAGCGCGTTCCCGCCAGCAGAGGGGACCGGCAGCCACACCGAGCTCCGCGCTCTTGCATCATCCACCGACAGCAAACACCCGCCGTGCCCCGCTGCTTTCCGTCCAAGGTTCTTGGCTTTGCTTCTACTGCCAATGACCAGGACATTGAAATGGTCCTTCTGGAAACCAGCAAAGGGACACTGACCTGGAAATTGTCCTCTTTACAGCGGGAAGTTAAGCAGGGGGAAAGCTTCAAGGAGAACAAGAGGGTTTGTAAAACAGTTGCTAATTTTAAACTGCTTATTATGGAAAACATGGCTTTGAGGACTCAAGACTCTTCAAAGTCTTTTCTGTGACTGATGTACAAATTACTCTCTGCTGTTGACTTTCCTGACCGAAAGAGCTTCCCAAGTTCTCGTGGATCACAGAGTACTTTACCAGTGTGACAACGCACAAGAAGGGAACAAAACGGAGGCGGTGCTCAGTGCCTCTGTCAACTGTATAGAGGTTCTGGCCTTAATAGTGACATAACCATATAAAAAAAGCAGCCTACCAGGAAAACTAGCTGATGTATAAAATGAGCAAAGGAATTATTTTCCTCTTGGAGAAATAATGTTTGCATTTGTTAATTGGATAAAAGACAATAAAACAATATGATACACTAAATTTGTTGCACTGAAACACCCTCAGGCAAACAAGCCTTATTAACCTGCAAGCCCAGTAGTAACCTCTTCTCCCAAGACCTTGTCTACAATTGGACCACTTCTTAAGAAAGACATTTAAAACTCAAACTTGATATTGCCTCACTTAGCCTTTTATTCACTGCAGGATAACCATCACACTCCAGGTCCTACAAGCACTATTGTAGTTATGATAGTATAGGGATACGAGCAATTTAAGATTTTATGCCTTTTGCTGCAGTCAGTGAGTCATTCATTCTGTACTAAAGCACATTCTATCCCACAAACAGCCACACGCGGGCAGCAAGTGATCCCTGCTGACACATTCTATCCCATGAACTTAAAGACACTCTGTAGCAATTAGCACTCTGTGTGTAATTAGCACACATTCAAGTCGAGCACAAGTTATCACTCGGGCAGTTAAGACACAATAGTTTGACGGACAGCGATAACTCAGAAGCCCCCTGAGGCACGTTATCTGAAAAGAAATAGACTTTGTTCTACTGAAATCCTTAACTACAAAGAAAAACACCTGAGCTCTAGCTGAGCTTAAAATCTTCAATGTCCTACTGACTTAAGCAAGTTTTATTGTTGACTTACAGGAGGCGGGGATTTCACCTTTCTGCACGGTCATTTTTGTGCCAACTCCCGTGTAGAAACTGAACCAGCAAGATTTCCTACTTCTCCAGAGTGCAAAGCAACACCTTCTAGGTGGTGACCTGACCTCATTACATTTGGTTCCTCCCAAAATCCAAGTATTCTCAAAAGATAAAGATCTAAGATAATGGCTGCTTATTTCAGATCGGAAAGGTTTGCTTCCTGCTGGGCACACCTGCTCCTTCTCTCTCCATGCTCACAGGAAGCTGCTCCTGCACTCCTCTTTTTAGCTATACGGCAGCAACAGCTCAAGTTCAAGGGTGAGGACAAGCAGCATATCCAATCCAGCAGCAGGAGGAGATATTGTCATCACTATACCAGCACCAGCTCATCAGAGCTTGATCACTCTGCTACTTACGCCTGGGTTTTCGACAGTCTTCTTTAATCACATCAAGGGTCACTTTAAACAGCTCCTTATCATGGTCAGTCACCTGAAGAAAAAAAGAAGAAACTGGCTTGTTGTTGAAAAACAATCCAATGCCATGGTGTACTCTAAGCTAACACTGTCAAAATTACACTCTGAATTTTATGCTGCCTTCAAGACTAATAATGAACATCAAATCTTCAGGCAGTATTTTTACTATTAGCAGCATCCATGAGTTAGGTGAAGTACATGATACAACTACGTTTGACCCAAAGGAGGGTGACTGACTCAGCAGAACAGCAAGCTTGAACCCACTTTGATAAGGAGAACTGTCCCAGCCAGGCCCCAGGTTTCAGTGAGCTCAGCTGGATCAGAGCAGTTTGGCATCCCAGCAAACACAGACAGAACTTGGAACAACTCAGTGGGTGATACAGAGGTACAACCAACAGTGAAGTAAGCTGCAGAAAAGACTTCTGAGTAAACTGAGAGCACTTGGATGTCCAGCTTGTCTTTCTGAAACATTTGAACTACTTCCACAATATTTTTACTGTTTTTACTACTAATAAAACTCATACCACTGAACTTGTTTGCAACCACAGCTCAGTCCCTTACATAGTGTAAGTCCTTGGAGCTGCTAGGTTTCTGGAAAATCACTCCTTTTTCTTGTAGCATCTTTATTGCTTCCTTAAAAACACTGTGAATCCTTTTGGAACTGGAGTTACTTTTTGACTTCACCTGGATGGGAAGAAAGGAATGAAGCAGATGGTGAGATATCTCAGCTCAACCAAAGCTACCAGCAAAAGCTCCAGATGCTTTCAAGAAGGTCCTTCAGGTCCTCTTTTTAATGTCAATTTTGTTACACATTTTTCTTCATTTAGTAATTCATAAATCATATCTGTTGTGTATGAAATAACCACTATCTCCGAGCTTTAAACAAAACCCAAACACCAGAAGCTTGCACCATTCTTAAGGAACCACAATCTCTAAACAGCCTTCTTTGTGACTAGCAGCTATTTGGTGATGTACCGAGAACTCTTTTTCTGGAATATACTTGTGATGCTTGCAGATCATTTGACTTTTTTGTTAATCAAGCTTTGTTCACTCTCATATTTTTCCTGGCAATAAGGGTAGAAAGATAGGAAAATCAGTATTTTGAAAGGTGATATTCAGGAGGAATCTAAGTGCTGAGGACGGGATTCCCATCTCCTGATTTCAGGGAAAGGAGAAAACTGACAAAACTAGTATTTATTCCTTGCCCCCTTTGTTTCCAATGTTTTTTTCCAAACATTCTGATCATGCTCTCAGGAGCTTCTCCACAGCCAAATGAAGTGAAAGGCTAAAGAGCAGGCAAGAAATTAAGTGTATGAAATAAGGAATGAGGGTAGGTGGGAAATTAGTTTCTTGTGAAAAGAGAACAATGTGCCTGGAAGTCCATAACTGAGGTTACTTAGAACACAGGGTTCTGTGTTTGGGACACATCTAACAGAGTAGAAGGAAGGAAAGGGAGGTGGAAAAAAAACCAGGGAAAAACAGGGTTTGTTTGGAAGTAGAGCAGAACCATGAGAGTGGAATGACAGCTAGTGAAGTGGAAGGAAATAATTAGTTGTGGAGAAGGGAAAGTATGGGTAGATAAGAGCAAGACTATGATTTACTCTGCTCCATTTTCATCTGTACTACTGTGTCCTTCAACCTCCCATTTGTCTACACAGACTGCTTCAGTTCCCCAGTTGCTGTTTTGTCATCCGTTGAAAGCACACTGTGCTCCCTGTGGTTTTCTTTGAGAAGGGAGCTAAACTGCTTCCCACAAACCACCATGTGATAACTAGAACCACACCAGAGCAATCAGAGCAAGATTTGCCAAGCCATTCCTTCAACTATCACCATAAACGCTCCCACCCTGTTCTGAACAAAAATATCAGACTTCACATATTCTACTTCACTCACCAGAAGCAGCTCAGAAGCCTGGGGAGTGAAGCAGGCAATCACCATGAACTAGAAAGTATGTACATGAATATGCAAAATGGATACCACAGGAGCAAAGGAAGAATATCTTTTCACAAAACATTCATTCAATCCATTTGCAGTTCTCAAGTGACATTCCAACAGCCTGGAAGCTGATGTACCTAACTGGGAATAGTTTGGGGATCCAAAGGGGATATTGGTGTTAGCATGCATCACAAGTTTCTCCCTCTGTTCCTCCAGATAACCCTCAGGATTTCAACAAGCCATAATCACATCTCTCTCTCTGTCCCACAACAGCTAATTTTCTTTTTCCTCTCAAATCACCAGTAAAAATAATTGCTAAATACTTCAGTATAATAACACAGAACAATGGCTCTTACTCTCAGTTCCGTTTTCTCTGTTTCAGACTGAAGGATCCAGTACCTGAACCTTGCCTGTCCTCCTGTCCACCACAACCATCAATCTGGATAACAACAGACTCTACTTCTAATTACAAACTTGGCCATACATCTGGACACCATTCCAGCCACAGCATTAATACCACTATGGTGTTTCTCTTCACTGTGCTGCTTCTGATGAACTGAAGAAACAAACATAAAATGCAGCAGGAAGGATTAAGTGAAAAGTGAGTATCTGCTCTCAGAAAAGCACATTCTCATAGCCATATGTAAAATGAAAAGACTGCTTCTCACTCAAATGCAGTAATAAAGCCTCAAGAATGTAAGAAATTGCTAGCAAAGCAACCAACTCACGACTCTGATCAATTTTTAATGTGATAGCAAACATTTGGGGAGAAAAAAAGATAAAAATATTTCCAAAGAAGCACAATAATTATTCAGTTTGGCTTACCACTGAAATCCTGTCAGAAAAGAGAGATAATTAAAAACAGACTCTGTGTGAACTGACACACAGCTCAGCCTGGATGGATACTGAAACAGAATCACTAAGAATGCAAGTCAAGGCACTGACAGAGTGCAAGCAGCAAGGCCTTATAATAAGTAAGCAGCTGCTACATATCAGCACTGTCTCATATGTGCTACAGAATCCACAGAAAAGGGCTTCATGGCAGAAAGACTGTTTCTGAAAAACAAATTAGGGTTCCTGCCCACTTTAGTAATACCATATTATATATTAATACAAAAATATTATATATCATTGGTGTTTAATAGTACCATAAAATGACAAGGAAAATGTGGAGTTTTCTTCTAGTGTGCTCTAGAACATGCTTCCTCCTCTCCATTCCTCTGGGTAAAACAGCAATGAAGTTTTTTTGTCAATACAGTCTAAAATTGCTGAGTCTGCTCTTTTGGTCCACCCAAAGTAACTCCAGGATCTCATTCTGCAAATTCACAAGTCAACAGTACTTCTCCCCAATACCTCTCCTTTTGTAAAGTGTCCCCTTTGGCCATGCCTTAGTTTCAGGGTGCACCATTTCAGGTTCTTTGAAGCAGTAACAGCAGGGTCTTCCCCTTCTTTTCCAAATCAGGTCCCTTTCAAATAAATTAAACTGTACATTCCAACACAGAAGCATTCAAGAATCAGTCATCCCTTTTTCAAAACACATCATGTATGTGTGTGTGTGTAACCCGAGACAGAAGCAGCTATTAAATAATAATTTTACTATCATTACCCTCACTCCCAAGACTGGCCAAGGGCTCTGTAGCAAAGACAACAGAAGAATCTATGTATCCAGAATTAAGTTGGTATACTTTAATCAATATATTCCATTTAATAGGCCTCACACAGCTTAGTAGGCTGGTGCTGTGCAGCCAGTTATTCTCAGATCTTTAAAACAAGACAAATTCTCTGCACAATCAATAATAGGTCAAAGAAATGAAGTAGTACAGGAATTAGTGAGTCTGTTCAAAACACTGGAACTATGTAACCTTTGACTCATCGTGAATCACACCCTGATGGTGTTAAAGTTTCCTGGTATTCACATGTGATTCTACTCATGGAATCACACTTTGCAGTTTCTCATGTAATGTTTAATCCTGGGCTTAGGCAGGTGGCAATTTTAGTAATAGTGATCCTGGACATGTCAGTCCTGAAGTCCTATAATAAGCTTTGCAATATACATATTTAAAGCAGTGGTGAAGCTTCCTCGAGAGGCAGAAAGACAAGGACACTGCATCAATAACTTCTAATGAACTGTGTTACACCTACAGTACAATGTACAGGGTAGACAGGTGAAACTGTGAAACTTCCTGCTTTAACTACTTCTCGTTGGTGCCCTTGAGATACTATTCAAATCAAGAGAAGTACAAACAGCACACTCTGGAAAGCACAACTCAAGTTACGTGTCCAAGCCAGTGACATTCACGAACTGGAATGGCAGCACTAAAATAGCACACACTATAGCTTATGCATAGCAGAAGGGCAGAAATATTGTTAATCTAGACTGGTTGGTTTAAAGCATTTAATTCAGTTGAGAAATTGGATGGATCCATTTAACATACAGCTTTCTTTAAAAAAGGAACCAAAGGCTTGTCCATTTGCTAAACATAGTTGTTAAAGTCCAGCAAGTACACTCTGGAGGTTCTCCAATCACAAAATTACTTTTTCTTATTTTACCTGTAGTCTTCTTTCTGCTTCCCACTCCTCCAGCCTCAAAAGTCACTTGTTTTTAAGGACAGGGAAAAGGCTACACCTTAGGGAAAAATGGGGCACTGGTTATGCAAATTAAAGCTCCAGTGGCTTTAAAACTCATAAAAGATTTGTTAATTTTTAACTATTTTAAAAGGTAGTTAAATTCTCTTCCTTATCATCTGTAGACTATAAAGTTAAATTTTCCCTAGTATATGTCTGAAAAGAGGAAATTATTTCAGTTCTGTCAGGTGCATCTGCTAGAGGGAAATTTATTCTGGAGAGACAGAAGACTGCACTGCCAGGGAGGGATCAGGACTGGAACGAGGTGTTGTAGGACATGTATGGGACGTGGACAGGGCTCAGCTACACAGTAATGCTGGAATGGAATACAGAGATGCTGCCTACCTCAAACTGTCCCAGCTAACTCCTTCCATATTCACCCTCTGCTCCACTCTACTGCAGTGACTCCACAGCAGCTCATCACCTCCCTGGAGAAAATATTCCATGAGGAGACATCCTCCCACTATGACAAACACCGCACAAGTACTTTAAAAGTCGGGAGAGATGAAGGGGGTGTATCACCTATTCTAGGACTACAGGGAAAGGACGAGAAAGGAAACAAATACTTTAACAGTAATTAATTTAACAGCTCTAGAACACTGGAATCAGGATCAAAAAATCACCTATACATCCAAATAACTCATCCTTTTACATCCAGGAAAAGTGCAAGAAGTGAACAAGCGTGTATATTGTGGCATGGCCTAATTAGCTGAGTTGGCTCTGTAGCTCCTGCCTTGCCAAACAGGCCCAAAATAACATTGTTCCACATGAGCAGCACCATTTATCCTCTTGGTCTGAGGGCAGTGCAGAACAAAAGACTACTGAAAAGAAGGGAAGAGGGACAGAAATCAGATCTATTACACTTACTTGTGTGGATTGAACTGGGTACTTGATCATTTGCCAATTATGAAAAGCGACACCTTCTAGAGACAGAGTAGAGGAACAAGGAAATACATTTCCAGAGCATTCCTAGGCAATCCTCTTAAGGCATCCATGCCACTAAACTGCAGGTCCTTTCTTATGCAAGAACAGAAAACCTTCTTTGCAAGAAATTAGTACGACATTAGGACAATAGGGAGAACTGCAATTTCTAACTAAGCATCTGTGTGCCTAAATTCCTGAGACATATGCTCACATCCTTGCATCAGGATGAAGTGCAGCTACTAATTATTATGATGGCTCTTCATGACTGCTAACAACACTGATGCTACATTATTTTTCTTGGTTTGGGATTTGTGAGTTGTTTTTTTTTGGTTGGCGTTTTGTTCAGGTTGAGTTTTCTTGGGGGTTTTTTTAGCCTTTCTATGTTTGTTCTGCACCAGTTCCTACTTTAAATGGCTTTGTAAATTATTTATCTTGGTCTTTCTATAAATGCTGAAACGTTTAAGTTTACAGTATTGGACACAATGGCCACTACTTCCTTTAATATAAAGTGTTTGGGAACTTGTAATACTGTTCCGGCTAGTTTAGAAAGTACCAGGTGCTATGTTGGATAATCTACTAGCAAACTTTTCTGTCTAAAATGAGAATAGCTCCTGTTAGTGTTAATATCCATGCTAGTTCCAAGGCAAACCAGAAAAAATGCCTTAAATAAAAACAAACAAAAACCAACAAAAAAAAAAACCCCAAAACAAAAACCCAACCCAGCTATCAAGAGCAGCTATCAGCAGCAGTTCAACAAAGCCAACAAGAAAAGAGCTACTTTTCATTATTATTTGACCTCATCTACAAGAGATTGGTTCTTGAGTTATTTTGTTTGGGATTCTTAAGAATTAAACAAACGTTAGATGACAACATAACATAGCACTTAACATTACAATGCACATCAAAATCGGGGTGAAAACGACTGCCAAGAATTTATTTCTCTACAGAAAACCAAAAAGTAAACAAATGAATCACAACATTCCAGCTTAAATTTCAATTGCCATTGCTTTTATGGTAAAAGATGTAACTGTAAGGTTTGCAGAAATTTGTCACTTCATATCAGTTGAGAATTCGCTTTGAATTTATCCAACTAATACAGAGTAACATAAAGCCATTTTACAAAACTAGTTTTGTTCTGTTTCCCATTCTGCAGCTGGTCAAGAGGTTACTAACTCATTGGAAAGTTTCTTAATAGTTTGGTTACACGCAGCTTCCTGTAAAGTGATTTCAATTTAATCCAAACTTCTCATCCTTTCAATCATGGCCTTTCACAATTAAAGACTTCCAATGTGAGAAACATTTAGCAGGGAGCACTGTTCATCCACTCATCATAACCTCCTCTTGAAAGCTGCATCTTTTTAATTAATCAAATTAAAATATTGAGCTTCAAGTGAGAAACAATACAAAGATTTTGTGCTCCCTTCTCCTGATCAGATTCAGGATCTCAAACCTTTATCCCAAAGAACTCAAGCACCTTAAAGGGATCTTTTTCTGACACTGCTACTAATTACGAATCTAAATAAAGTAGTGACTGTTGCAGGCTGTAAGATTGTTCAGCCCTAACACAAGATTACCCCTAATAACAGAATGTTCTTACATTACTTTTTGCAGCCCAGTTTTATATGTCTAAAGCAACAAGATTTCCTCAAGCTCTGTAAATAATTAATGCATAAAGCTAAAGCACTACTGGTTTTTGAATCCTCTGAAGACACCAGTCTCTTATCTGTTTATGCTTTAAAAAAGTACACTGTATTATTTCCCCCACTAAAATCTTGGAACAGGTGCATTCACTCACCTCCTGACAGCTGGGGCTGGGTGGATGTACACCAACCAGAGACACCAGAGAATCAACTGTCTCCAACTCCTGCTGGTAAAAGGTCTGAATTTTGTTTTCTAATAGAAAGGCTTGCACTTTCTCATGAAGCATATGGATTGAGAAATTCTGACCCTCCAGGCCACTACAAGGATACACAGAACGTCAAAAGGTAAGAAATGAGTTTTAGAACCATTACATAAAGTCAGTCCACTAGACTAGTTTCAAAGGTCAAAGGATGTTTTACCATCCTTAAAGAATTAGAATTTAAATTCCTAACTAAACCAGAAGATTTTTATAAGCATAAACATTCAACTGTTCTTCTTCAATCATTTGCTGTTACAGTTTTGTGAATTCAAGATCTACAGTCTCTGAAATAACACTACACTACCAGGCCTCCCAATAAGCATCCAGCTACCTGAAACTGAGTACAGGAGTGGGTTGTTTGACTCATTTTACTGGCGTTATGTATTTGTGATTTGGCAATGACAAAGGCAGGAGAGCATTTCAGTGGAATAGCTCCTTAACCTTACACATAAAACAACATCAGGCAAGGATACTTCTCCATCCTCTCTGCTGACCTCAGCCCCAAATTTTGCTCTAAATCCCATCTTTCTTCACTAGATGAAAGAGTTCTGTACACAGTATTTTACTTTCTTCCTAATATTCACTTTAGTTCCTTATTATATTTCTTTCCTCAGATTATGAATAGGTATCTCATCTGCATGGATCACCAATTATCTGGGAGAAAAGCAGACTGCTACTGTATATTAATGCAGTCTAATTCACAGCCAGGCCCTGCTGTATTTTTTTCCAGAGTTATTACAACAACAAGTAAACAACCATAATATCCCACACTTTGCCCCAGGAGCAATTCTGGATACTGCATTTACCTCTGTGTTTCCTCAGGGCCCTTGAAAGGTTTATCATAAACTTCTCTATAGAGACAGGGGAGCTCCAGCATTCTTGAAATCTGGACATCACACACGGGATCATCCACTTTATCTGGAGAGGCAATGAGAACACATAGACCTGGCCAGGACTGCCATACAATTTTTTAAGCAAGCAAACCTGAGGCAGCAAACAGAGCTTCACAGCCAGTATTAAATTGGCAAAATTTGTTCACTGTGGCTTTTATAAAAACAAACCACAAAGGCCAATCCTTCTTTTACAGTTTACAAGGAGGTAAAAAGGCCTGTTGTGGTGCATTACAGATTATGCTTTTGTCTGACAACTTATTTAACCAGAATTTATGATCTCTATTTTACCTTTCAGCAGTTTTTATCCATTAAATGAACTTAACACACAGTAAGGAGCTTTATTTGGGCCAAAGTGAAAGCAATTTAGAGGCTATTTGAATTGCATGGCTCTCTTTGGTATTATTACCAACCCACGAATGGGTTGTATATACTCATAAATTTTCTGTCTGGAAAGGAAGGTTGAACTCCTGTGCAAATTTAAGCTAGAGTTGAAAAATCTAGACTTTTTATCTGGCTTACACAGGGTTTTTAAAAGACAGGCTTTTCTTCACTAAAGAAATAATTCCAGTGTTATCTTTGAAAGATCTCACTGGAGAAAACCAACTCTTACACAACAGCACAGACACGGAACTGAGAAGAAGTTATGTAACTGGAAGCTCCCAGAGCAGAAGCTGTGGGCTGCAGAGCCCTGCTGCTCAAAGAGCTGTCAGACACAGAGGCAGCACCTGCATGCAGATCTGTGCCTGAGGAACCCTTCTCCCTCATCCTGCAGAGCCAGGGAGCTTAGGAAAAGCCAGGCTTCAGTGGGACACTGCCCATATGCTGCTGCCTGCCCATGGAAAGGATTGTACAGGCTGTGACAAACAGCAGCCACTTCTCCAAAGCCCTCAGTGCCCTTGGTGAAGTGGGACATAGAAGGTCACCAGCTCCCTTCCCATGGGCTTTGGCTGCTCTACTTCAACACAGAGAAATCTGAAGAACAAATCACTCTTGCAGACATCCAATCACAGTATCTGCACAGTATTCTTGTATGCAGGCTAATCAGCTTTTACAGTTTTTCCAGGAATGCCTCATTTACAGGCAATAGTCTGTCTTCTAAGCTTATGCTGCTACAATTGAAATATAGGTATACAGATGAAAATCCTTAGAAGAATGAGATGCTAGAAAAGAAAGTGGAAAATATTCACTTAATTAAATACAGCTCAGATATTTTCACAGATTCAGACATCTTAGTTACATATATCACAGATTCATGACACTCACAAAAACATGAAGCCTGAATTTCTCTTTGTTGCCTATAGGTTCGGATTTGACCTCTGATCCTGACAACATCTCCAATCTCCAGCTTGGTTTTCTGGCTTAATGTTTCTTGGAGTTTCTTCATCTGTTCAAACACACTGAGACTGCTGGGTGTGCTTGGATGACCTGCAAGAAGTGAGGGAAAGGCAGTCAGGCACTAAAGTCAATGCATTAATTGTCCTTTTGCATTTACCCACCTAAGCACAACAGGAATCATATTACTAAAAAAGGCTAAGGTCTCAGGTAGAAAACTTGTGGGTGACATAGTTTACTGGATTATATTTATTTAAATTGTTCAACTGGGGAAAATATAAAAGGGAGAAGATACTGATTCACCACTGAAAATATCATAGATGAGTTGCAAAATTGAAATACAAATTTGAAATAGTTTTTGTAATATTTTTTATTTTGTCATGCTATGATGGATGAGAGGGGAAAAGAAAAGTCAGCTGAACTTTTTGTATAAAAGAAGAATAAGTCATCTGAGGTGGGGCCAAAGCATTCATGTGATGCAATTTGATGTCCACACTGAGGTCAATGCAACTTGACAGAACTTCACGTTTACATAACACAACTTTGAAAAACAAGAAATCCTTCATAACTTAAAATCTGACTAACGCTCCAACTATCCCTGATCACAATTACAAAAGGCTGGAAGAAAGTTTCCTGTGTCTCCTAAGAACTTTCTTTAGCAGGGACAAATGAATGAATTGCCATTCTTAGCATAGTGTCCATCCAAGCACTACTGATGTATGTGTAAAATAAGAATCCAAGGCTGAAAAGCATTCTTGGCCCTCATTCTATTTCAAGAAGTATTTCATGCAATTCCTTTTAATGCATCTGAGTTCCTCATTTAAGTTCCTCAGAACTGAAAACTGATTTGATTGCATGTCATGTCTCCTTTTTTTTTGTTTGTTTGTTTTGAGAGCTGTGCCAGACCATCACCTCTCCAAAGTGAGAGCTGTTTTTTTACATTCCAGCTGGGATCATTTGTACCACCTGTCATATGATGGTTAAATATAAGTATGAATTATCTGTCTGTATAAATGGGCTTGTTCCACACACATCAGTTTTTAACTTTTACATCAAGCTTTCCTTTCTCCATTCTATTAATATGAATCCCTAACACTGCAGATGACACAAGTAAGATTTATTTCAGTAGGATTTGATCAGCTCCATATTAGGGTTGTCAATCCACTACATGGGCTTCCAAGAAGATCCAAAGTAGAAAGAATTCTGTATTCTGATCTACAAGAAGCAGTGGGAGAAAAAGCAAAGAGACAGCCAGACATTAGTGAGTGTTCTGTTAGTGAGTGCAATAATACATTCATTTCAAATGACAATTACTGCACATTTAGGACTTGCCCAAATTGTAAAAGACTGCTAGCATCCTCCCACTGTGTTTGAAACTACTTTCAGGTTCACTGCTGACAGTGTCTTTATGAGCAGGAGCACATGAATACAAACAAAGCAAGGATAAATCCTGAAACCATAATCACAAGGGCAGGTCAATGGACTAACTTTGGAATCAGAAGTTGAGACACATTTCCAGCCTAGTTCCTTACTAGATGAAGTCACAGAAAGAACCTTAACAATTCCAATTCAAACAGGCAAATTCTCTGAACAATGTTACAGCATAGAACTGAAATATCATATTACTCAAATAAGGAAAAGGCAGGGACAGGACATAATGTAATGGTTTTATTGGCATCACTCTTGAAGACAACACAAAAACGAATACAAAATTCCCAAAATGCCCCAGGCAATATGATGTGGTGGCTTAAAATTAAAAGAAAAACAAAACAACTGAACAGTTGAATTTGCTCTTCTGCAAGTTTGATCACTTAGTAAATTATTTAAGACAGACATAAGTAAAAACATACAGTCAAAAGAGGACTTATTAATTTGATAAATTACCTGATAAAGGTGTTTCTGCTACCATGGGATTTTTCCAGCAGACACAATTTATAACTCCAGTACTATCATCCACTGCAAAAAAAATTTCAAGAATTACAGACTAGGAAAGCAGGCAGTCATGTTCCAAGAAGTGAAGATACATAAATATGTAGGGAGATAACTGCCATGGACATCTCATTTCAACGGGTTTGGAAGGCAGAGTGGGTGTCCAAACTCTACTTACATATCTGAAGTAATTTCCACAGTTGTTTCAAACATGGAAGTGGCTCAGCACTAGATGTGCATATGTGCATAGTCAGCAAAGTAACAGGTATATTCTCAAAGAAAGATCATACACTAATTTAAATTATGAGGCTTCAATATACATATTTAATACTAAGGGGTTTCAATCTCATTGACAAGGTCGGGAGAATAATCAGTGTTGAAGGCTGAAATCAGACAAATTAAAACAGGAAACCAGGCACAAACCACAGAAACATTACTGTTACAGTGAGAAAACAGCACTTCAATATTTGGGGATACAACCATGTGAATAAACCAGGAGTGCAGCTACCTCCAGCTGCATTGATTTCCATGCCAATATCATGCTCAAAGTCTGCTGGTCATTCCAATATAGGATGACATTCAGGGAGCAGAAAGGCAGCTCCTCTAGGAAGGAAGGACAGAAGACAGTACATGCTTGTGGTTCTGCTGAAGCCAGGAAATCCCAATTTAAAGTGCAGGTGCTGGTGGCATGCATGCCACTTCCGCTGCTGAAAAGGCTCAGCATCTTCTCCTGAGCTGTTTTTCCTGTTTTGCCAGTGTCCAATGAAAATAAGTTTTAAAATTTCTGCTCCAGGCACTGCATTGTCGACGACAGTAGGAAAAGACAAAACTCAATGGAAACTAAAAGCTGTCAGAAGAATCAATTTTCTATCAATCAAGGGACTGTATATAGATGGCTTGTGCAACAAACACTCTATTTAGAGAGGCACTAAATGTCTGTCAAGGATCATCCAGCCAATGCACCTTGCTTCCTGAATGTAACATCTCCAAGACTGAGATTCCACTCCTCACAAATGGAAACCTGCAATTTTCTTCTGCTCCTTAAACCAGGTCCATGACTAAAAAAGTAACAGCAATGTTTACCATGAAGGTACTGATTGGTACCTGCAGTCACTTCCTCTGGGAACCATAGCATCAAAGCAAAATGCCTTTGCATTGTCTCACGTGTTTTAAAACAATCTCCCTGTTTGGGGGGGTCTAATTGCAAATCATTGTCTTGCCTTCCTGTTTCCAAGCAGTTTAGCTGCACATTCCTATTAGCAAACTTACAGCACTTATAAGATGCAGCAATTCCAAATTCCATCACAAAAGTATGCTCCTCTCTGCTATCTGGGTTTTGAGCTGCTGCATCTGCAACTATTTCAGCAGCTTTAATTTTGTACCCGAGCACAGATAACGATCTGCTGGTAGGATTTCCTCTCCTTGGTACAGACAGACAGCAACTATTTTAGTAGTAGTCAGAACCCTCATAAACCATGCCAAGCCATCCATGCAAGCCAGCAATGGCAACAAGAAGCAGGGCAGATGACATTTCACTCTTGCATTCCTACAGTTTCTAGATGTTCCTGCTTGCACCAACCAAGCCAGAGAGGCTTCCTGAGAAGGGCTTGGAAACAAATCAAGTAAGACTGAAGGATTAGGAGGCCAGACTCCTCCTCCTCAATGTAACAGCTGAAAACAGAGTCCTGGAGACACTGACCTGTACTTGAGCACACAAGGAATCTGGTAGCAGAGCAAGGTTCTGAAACAAAGTTTCGCAATTTCAGAGATGGAAGCTTTGAGCAAAAAGACAAGTTAACTCCTGAAGTGCAGATGAATGAGAACTCTTGCAATTGTATTCTAATCAGACAAGAGAATGTTAATCTATTTTAAATGTACTCAAGAGGTCTACAAACTTTTGAAAACTTCCTGTGCTCCTTGTGCCACCCTTCCTCATCTCTTTGGGTTTAAACTTTTGTTTATTTGGGTTTTTTGTAGGTTTACTTTTTGTTTGTTGGGGTTTTTTTCCTGGCTTTTGTTTGTTTGGCTTTGGTTTCTTTGATTCTTGCTTAATTATTTGAGGAGTAGCTCAAAACTATTACTTAAATGAGGTAATTGTGTAAATTTTAATTTCTTTATGACAAAAAGGGTATGGCTCTTGTCAGGCCTGCATGAACCTACTAAGATGCTGGTGATTTTTTTTTTTTAATTTGATTTTAAGTCAACTGTCTTTCAGCTTTTCAAGTCAGTTTTGGAGTACAAAGAAAATCACGTGATGTTTGGTTTTGTTAAAAAGGAAAGGAGACATAAGAGGTCAGAAAGGTGCATTAGGTAAAATATGAGCTTGATCAAAGCTATATTTTAGTTAGATATCTTTCTCCTAACTTATCATAATAGCAAGAAAAAATCAAAGTGTCAAAATCAATATTACACAGCATGTAGTTTTTATTTTTTAAGCCAGGAAAGAGTAAATTAACTCTTTCATACAATTATAATTTTGTCATCAGTTCTGGCTGTAGAGTTTTCAGCAGAGGACCTAAGATTCTTTAACGTGAGTGATGTGTATTCTGAAGCAAACAGATAGGAAATGAGGGAGGAGGATCATGGCAGGGACACAAAGACACTTCAGTTCTCTATCAGAGGAAAAGTACAAAGGGAGAATTGCTTTGTAAGTCACTTTTAAGCAGATGGAAAGTGAGCAAGTCCTGAGCAGTGTGTGCCACTCCAACTGATGCAACCCCCTGTGACTCAACAGAGTCTGTTGAACTGAAAGATGGCAAGAAGTTACAAGCAGGAAACTGTCTAAGAAGTTACAGTTTTGCACTGACAGAGTCGGCCTGCCTGAAAGGGAGGGCAGGCTGGGGAGGGGCACCCTGGCAGGTAGCCTGAAAACTCAAACCAGGAACTGCTGGAACAAAGAGTGAAGTTGGATGTGAAAGGACAGCAGGAAGCCAGGCTTACTATGAGCTGCACTTTAAGGTTGGCTGATCTAAGGCCTTAATTCCACTACTCTGTAGTTTCTTTTTATTTCTATTCCTCCACTTTCTGTCCCGGTCAAACATTTTCAGCAGGTTTAGTTGTTAAACTGATGCTGAGAGCAGCATGGAAAACCCTTACCCATAGAATTGGTTTTGTCTTGGTCGTTTTGATTCTGTGTTCCTCTGTTCTCATGAAGTGATTAATGCATTTGTAGTTAATGCTACTCTTCTGCAGTTTGATGCTGGGGAAGCTGGGACCTGGTTAATTCATCAGCTGTATCTTCACAGTACTCCTGAGGGTCAGGGAACTGCAATTTTACAAGCAGGGGAATTGTGGAGGAGAGGAACTCTGTGCCTCACCTCCACCAGGTAAAAACCCATGGCAGAGGAAGACACTGGCCATAAGGGCTTCAGTAGGATCTGTGCATTTGGCTCTCCCTTCCTACTGTGAGGTGACCTCCCCCCACCTTCTGAAACTTGCCACATCACCACAGTTCCACTCTGCCTTTTCTCCAGATGTAAAAGACAGCTGAACAAAATGACAATCAGATGTTTCCCTGTTAATAAAATTGAATACTGGGAAAAGCCATACAGAGGAGACAGCTCCCAGCTGGTGCTGGCAAGGACTGGTACTACGATGCTTGAGTGCATTTGTTAAGACTCTTACTCTTGTGCATCTAAACATAAACATGCTCCTGACTGCTACTAGAAGCTGGCTTCAAGATATGACAAGACATAAAAAAAGTCAGAAGGCATTTCTAAGGTTCAAATATAGAAGAAGGGATTTCCCATTTCTGGGCACTGTTAAATACGTTTGTATCTGACCAAAGGGACTGCAAATAGGAGAGGAAGGTGACAGAGTCCAGTGACAAAGCAACAACCAAAATTAAGATTTGTTACATGACCCCACATGAATCAATTACTCTGTGTTAACTATTTAATTCTCTATTTTTGAAGTGGAGATAAGCAGTAGCTTCTCTACATTTGCTAAGTAATCTCAGCTGTAGATAGACATTATATTAGGATAAGAGCACATTTGTTTCAAGAATACACAACGACCAAATAAGGAAACCTTTCAGTTCTAACAGTAACTATGATAAAAGGCTGATAAGTGCAAGAAGAAAGAGAGACATTTTCCTTACCTCCATAATTATAAAAGGTATCTCGCTCCTTTGTTTGAACCACTATTCCAACAACATCCACCTGTCTTACTGGATGTCCATTATAAAAGAATATACCTAGACACAAAACATACTTGATTAGTGTAACTATTTCTTTCAACACCCTACTCTACTTAGTCACTTTTGTCAGTAAAAAACCCATACTTTCTTACATATTTAATATATCTTAAATTATACAGTGCCTACACAGAAAAAATCCCCTGTATCACTGAAGACTAGGAACGCTAAAAGGAGAAAGTATCAGCTGTACTTAGGACACCAAAAGCTTGCTTTTGTAGAGTGTCAGAATCTTATTAACCTCTTGTTTTCTTACACATTTGGATCTGAAAAACATTTGTTTGCTGCAAGCATTAGGGGGTTTTTGTTTGTTTTTGTTGTTTCATTTGGGTTTTTGTTTTGCTTTGCTTTGTTGTTTGGTTTGGGTTTTTTTTTTTATATCTTCATAAGGCTTCAGAATAAATAATAGAACACAAAGGAAGCAGTCTGAGCTTCTCACAATGCAGCTGTTCCTGATTAAGGCAGAGCCTCCAAAAGGAAAACTAACATAATTCTGTCTTTCATTTCTAGAAGAACAGGAGCCATGGGGGCAGGGGGAGAGCAACAGCCCTCTCAGACTGCAGAGTACACTACTGCAGTCATTGTGGACTGCATCCTGAACTTCAGTTTCTGAAAACACACATCTAAAAACATCCCTTCAAAGCTATTTTTGTGCATCTATAAAGATAACTTAAATAACACTTAGAAACATGTCCAGGAAACAGTGAGAAATCACAGCCCAGTGGACTCTGACAGCACTGAGGTTGCCTCACTCTGTAATCCCTTTCAAGAGAGTGACAAATGCTGTTAACAAACACTAATGTAAACATCATACACTGAGGCTTCACAGTCCACTAGCAGGAGGAAAATAGGGCAATAAGCTCCAAATATACCCTGGGCTGGCTAGTTTTCAGTGAATGTGTTTTCTTCAGTTTTCAAATACTGCTGCTTTACTGAAATAAGCCATCTGGGATGTTCAATAACTGTCTTCTGAAAACTAGATAACTCAAGGGACTCAGAAGGGAACATTTGGCTCCATACACCGTGGCAAGTGTTATTCTTACAAAGGGAAACACAGCAGCAAGGGAGTCAGAAAAATGTTCTGTATAAAAAAAACCCTAAATCCAAAATCCAAAAATAACTTGTCCTACATAGCTAGCAGCCTTAAATGAGCCTGGAATTAACTTTCTTCACGCAAGACAGAGAGAAAACACAAAAGTTTCAGAAGAAATCAGAGGTGATCAGCCAAGCAGCTCATCAGTAGAAATTCTGCTCATAAAAATCCACTGCAATGTTTTGAGGATGCATCTATGGCTCTTATCTCAGATCTGGCTATACTAATCATGCAGCCACTGGTCAGGTCTGGCATAGAGAATATTTAGCAGGTCTGTCCACTTGTCTCTCATCTCATTTAGCAGGGCACAAATAAACACTGCTACAGAAACCCCCAGTGGAGATGCTTCCAGTGTACATAGTCATTCACTGAATCTTACA